TGCATCAGCTGGACTTTGGAGTTTTATCAACTATGAGAGTTTTTGCAGCCTGATTGGTGGGAAACATACTTAATTCCACAAGATGACTAATGCTCCAACATAATAGATTCATTAAAAAGCAAAGTAAAATATACCTCCACTAACCAACATTTTTGACTGAACTAAGAATTTTTTTTTCAATCTCCAAAAGATAATCTAAAAGGATAATCATTTTTAACACGGAACTTGGTGAAATTAGGTGCTGTAATCTTCCTCCTTGCATTTCCTTTCTAATGAAAAAAGGAGGTTCGAAAGGAGGTGGGGAGTGGCCTTAAGTTTTAGAATGAAGAGAAAAGTGATTCAAACAAGAAACCCTGACCTAGAAGGCTGGCGATGTCAAAAGGCACCACCAAGTGGTGGACTGGAGGAAGTGCAGCCTTCTCTGCTCAGGCACGGGGATGGGATGGTCACACTGGCCAGCTGACCTCCCAAGAGGCCACCAGCCTGGGCCATGGGGCTGGCATTCAATATCATCAGTGCTTCACTGTCTTCACAAATTAGGTAAATTAAGTAAGTACGACTGCAAGTAGCTGAGTCACAATTCTAATCCAGTTCCTCAGATGTAAAATCTAGGTCTCTGATGTCTACGTTTAATTTAGCTTAGAACGGATACAGATCTAGAAGTGATTTCAAAGTACTGCACACAATTGTCTGGGCTTGGGTGGTAGTTCTTTCTTTCTGGGTGACAGATTTATAGCTTTGTTTTTAAGAAGGACCAAAGTTTGTCTTGAGTTTTGTTTGCAATGCCTTTTCGAAGATAATTTTCCTAAACATGTTTGCAATGCCTTTTCGAAGATAATTTTCCTAAACATACATACACACACACACACACACACACACACACACATATATGTATATGTTGTTGTTGTATGCCATTGAGTCGATTCTGACTCATAACGACCCTATGGGACAGAGTAGCACTGCCCCATAGGATTTTCCAGGCTGTAATCTCTACAGAAGCAGATCGCCAGGTCTTTCTCCCACAGAGCAGCTGAGTGGATCTGAGCCGCCTGATCTTTTAGTTAGCAGCCGACTGCTTAACCACTTTGCCACCAGGTCTCCTTTATATACATATGTGTATATATATATGTGTGTGTGTGTGTGTGTGTGTGTGTGTGTGTATACATACACATACATACATAAAATACTTACACGTACATACTTAGACATGTAGAAAATACATGTGCTTGTTTTAGAAAATTTGGAAAATACAAACATGAGGAAGAAAAATGCAATCACTTAAAATCCACGACTCAGTAGTAACCACTTAAAACAATCAGATGTATTAATATTTCTTTCTAGTCTCTCCTTTGTGCACACATAGAATTTATTTTCTTTTTTACAAAATTGGGCTCATTCTATATCTAAAATGTGTAAGTCAGTATTCAAGAACACCGTATAATTTTATATAGAATTATTAACTTTCTAAATATTCTAAACAAGCCAGGTATAATTAACATAGCCTAGTGTGTAAGTAGTGATATAAATTTAAACTGTAGGCTTTCAAGCAAATGGTTCAGATGATTGCGCTCTTATCCTTAATCTGTTATTAGAGAAAAGAGCAGCTGAAAGAAAAAGGGAACTTGGGTTAACACCTTGGCTCTACCAATAGGGGCTGCATGACCTTCAACAAATCATTTATCTAAATGGATCTGTTTCTTCTCTTCAAAAATCGAGATGGCCATGTCTGTCCTGCCTAACTCAGAACATTATTAGGAGTCAACAAAATGATGTAAATGCAAACCCTCTGTAAACTATTCCATTATACAAACACTCTTCAAGCTTCTTCATATTCTCCAAGGCATCCAGTACACAGAATGCTCATGGTTCTTTTCTAAGATTGAATGTCATGCCATGGCTTTCTTTTCTAAAACTGAAAGGCCATGTAATTGATTTTGTGGGGTTGCCTCCCCCACTAGGATACAGAATTTAATTGGCTGGGATCAGTTACTTGATTTTCAGACATTTCTCCACAGTGGTTCGTATTTATTTAAAAGCTCCAAATGTAGAATTTCTCTTTCCTATAGGTCCTTGACTGCCTTGCCATACTGTTTTATGTCTAAAAACCTGCCTGTTCTTTTTATCCTAATAGAGCATTCTGCCACTATAATTTCGGGTCATTAAATTCCCCCAATACTATGACTCTGCTTGATTTTGCAGCTCCCCTGTGTCTCTTCCCCTTTCCCTTAGCCTCACTGTCCTTCCCAGTTGATCCAGAGCATCTCCCCATTGTTACCTGGTTAAATGGATAACTAATTTCCAAACAGAATTTCCAGTTATTCCAGTTATTTCCAAATAGAATTTTGTTATGGTTATGTCATTCCTAACATGGTGTCTCTATACTGTTCCCTACCCTAACCCCATCCCAGCCACTGTTTTCAGTCCTTTCTATAGGACTGGTCAGTGGTTCAGTATGAGGCGGCTAACCGAAAGTTTGGCAGTTCAAATCCACCAGCCGCTCCTTGGAAACCCTATGGGGGCAGTTCTACTCTGTCCTATAGGGTCGCTATGAGTCAGAATTGACTCGACGGCAGTGGGTTTGTTTTTTTTTATTTTATAGGACTGGTAACTTGGACTCATCAGATCCAATTGATGAGCTTCAGTTACTAGATTTCCGAGATGCCAATCTACAAATATGTTCTTATTTTGTGAGCCAATTTGTCCATTTAATTTTTTATACAACTAACGTCGGGTGGAGTCTCTCATGTTCAACCTGGCTGGGCTTTTTTCTCATGCTTAAATACAAATTCCTTTTGTCTCTTCCCGTTAGAACAGCCTGCTTGGAACAGTAAGTCCAAGCCAGAGGGGCTCATGCACACGCCCACACACACCCTGAGTAGAGTGTGCTACATCTGAACAGACCCAGAAACGGTTGCGGGCCCTGATCAGCACACCTGGAGTACATTATTACATTGACGGAGGTGACGGTGGAAGCACCAATCAAATCACATCCCTCCAGTTATAAACAATAAATTATATAAGTAGGCCCACTACTAATTCTCTAAATAATCTTTTTCACAACAACTAAACAAAAAACTTTCAATCAACTGTGAGTCCCATCTCTGTCAATTTACCTTTACCCCATCCCATTTTGCTGGCCCCACCCCACTCTCATTGGTGTTTCTGCACCAACTTGGATTCCTGCTGGGTTAGAGAAGGGCAGGAAATGGGAGGAGCCCAAGATTATCAAAATGAAAATGGAAGCAGCAAAGATAAACAGAGTGAAAGGGATTAAAAAGACATTTGTCTGTGAGGCTGATCAGAATAGGGGTAAACTAGGAAAAAATTATCAGAAGACTCTTATTTTTGTTTCGATTCCTCATGAGATAAAAAAAAAACCCATGCTACATGCTGTACTTGTTTTGCTTAAATTAATGACAGAAGAGTGTCAATACACATATTGTTCAATAATCTGCAGTCTTGGGCCTTTTTTCTTAATTTATATTCTCTGCCACAGTCCCACCACTTAGCGTTTCTTCACACAGTGTCCTTTGCTTATAATACTGTTCTAGTTCTTCAAGGCTTGGTTCAAATCTCATCTGACCCATAAGGTTAACCATGGTTGCTCGACCCCATAGACCTCTCCGTTCTGAAAAACTGCTGGGCAGTTGCCACATGCTGCTGGCTACTCCTCCCAAGTAGATGACATACTTCTCTGCTCCAGTGCAGAGAACATGTCTCACCCACCATCAGAGCCCCTTCTCCCTACACAGCCAAGAATGATGCTATTTGTAGACAGCATGTACTCAGATTTATTTATTCCCACAGCCATCCAAAAGGCATTTATCCATTAGCAAACGACTGCTACCCTTCCCACCAAGTATGAGGGTCCAGGAGCCACTGCTCTTATTTTGAAGCCGATTTAGGAGATAATATTAGAGCCATTATTCCCTGTCCTTGAGCATAAAGAATGTGACCCAGCTGGAGCTGGACTTACAAGGACACATTAACCGGGCACTGAGGTATAAAGACAATAGCTAGGACAACCTTAGAAAACATCTTTTAGGGAAACTCTCACATAAACAAATCATACACAGAGCACAAAAGACCCACTATATTCCATTCTCATCTTTTAGCATTTAGTGAATAGTAAGATTTGTTGGACCAATGAAGGCCCTCCTGACTGTCATTACTGAAACCTGTATAAATAAATAATAAACTAATAATTACTAAGAAAGACAATTCAGAATGTTGGATAAGAGTGATTTGGCCGTTTTTAGCAAATCTGTGAAAAGGTGAAGCCTTCAATGATTTTACCCATTTGTAATGTTAATATATACTGAAGATTCTGTAACGTTCCTTGGATTCGGGCAGACATGGTTGTGGCAGCATGCTTGTCCGTTTTCCCACTTTTGTCTATTCTGTAATATTCTGTGGACTTAGGCAGACATGGCTTTGGCAGCATGCTTGTCCCTTTCCTACTTTCGCCTCTTTGAACATATGCCAAATAAAACCTTTCTTTTTGCTTTACTCTAACTTCGTGGTGATTTTACCCTAGAACAAAGCATAACTACTGCTCTTTTGTGTATGGCTGACCTAGCTTTTGTGTAGAACAACTGTGGCTCTTTAGCCAACCCTCCAAGAAAGGTCATCAAGAGGTGGGAATCAGAGCCCAGCATGAGGCCTCATCCTGTGCCAATGACCCCCCCGATGTCTAAGGTCTCCAAAGAGTGTTCTCAGGGTGGTAAAGGCTCCTGTGCTGGAACAGTCCTGGCTTCTAACAGTCCATTTTATAAACTTGCCTTCTTGAGCTGCAGAGATGGCATTACCAGAATAATACCCACCACAAATAGAGAGCTGGGGAACCTAAGTTATTGGCTGTCTCTCAGAGATGAGACGTCACCAAGAGAAGAGCTCTAGGTATGCAAGTCTTCATTATTCATCATGAGCACTCAGGGTAAAAACAGTCTTAGCACTTTCATGCTCTTAAAAAAGTGATTCAAAGAAAGAAAATTACTTACTGCCTTCCCACGTACAATGCAAAAGATTCAAAGCCCCTTCCACCCTCTTCCAGTGCGCGAGATGAAAGAACGCATATGCTATTGCTTCACTGTCTCCTCTCTTCAGGATATGTTCTGGGGGTAGGATTAAGCTTTTCATTTCTAGTAGGTACTGAAATAAAAAAGGCAGGAGACAGATGTGTTAATACATGGCAATTTGGAATTCAATACTGAAAACAGAGAGGTTGATTTTCCTAAAGCTACCATTCATAAGCATTTCATCAAACCTGCAACCTCATTACTACATTTGAAGGCAATTACTAAAATATCCAGCAATCCAAAGTTTGCTGACAGATGATTAGCCTTGTACTAGCCTGCTATAGGGAAGATCAGAGGCTTGCAGGCTAAGATACTCTAATCAAATACATACATATAGATTCAAACAGCATCAAGGAAAATTTAGAAGACACAGTAATTTGGTGTAATTTTGTAATGAGAACAAAAATATATAAAACCGACACATGAAGGTTAACAAGTCATACGACTATTCCACCTCCACTGGAGAGACTGGAGATTGACTAAGGGCTGCCCCTTATTTTTTCGATACAGATCTATCAAGGAGGAGGACCTAGTCCTGTGAAGAGGGTCACCCATGGCTGCTCGCATACGGGAGGGAGGGAGTGTGGCCTCCTGAGCATAGAAAGACCTGACGGAGGGGAGAGGTACGGAACACAAACTGCAATGTTCTTCTAGGTCTCTTCCCAAAGACTGGAGGGTTCTCAGCTTAAGCCTCTTCACTGCTATCTTCTTCAGAAGAGGTGGGCATACAAGCCAAGAATGGATATTCTTTCTGGAACTCAGAGAAGACTAAGTTTCTATCTCTGGAGTGGTGGTTAAGAGCTATGGCTGCTAACCAAAAAGTTGGCAGCTTGAATCCACCAGGCACTCCTTGGAAACTATGGGGTGGTTCTACTTTGTCCCATAGGGTTGCTATGGGTCGGAATCAACTCAATGGCAATGAGTTTGGTTTTATTTTTTTTTTTTATAGAAAGGAAAGCAAATTTAGTTTTTTTTTTTTTCTTGCAAATGTAAACCTCTTTTTGCTGGCTGTCATTCTTCCTGTGCTCCACTCCTCTTTACCTCCCCTCCCTGATTCATCCTGAATACACACACACACACACACACACACACTCACGTGTACACACAATACACATGCATGTACTTCTCCACTACAACAACCACCAATAACAACCCATGCATCCTTAAAATGGAGATAAGCAGGTGATAGAGGGATGTGTTTCATTATAATGGAAAGAACATTGTAAAAGGAAGTGCTATGAGATGTTCAAAAATTTTAATGTCAGAAACAATTGCCTGAGGAAGTATCTGCTGGTGGAATTTTATGAAAGAGAATAAGGGGTGGAAAAGTCCCGTTATACAGAATGGAGATTATGATACAACCATCACTTTTTCATTATCATCAGCTGTGCATTTATACCCCGTGGGCATTACCCAGCTGCCTTGAAGCTTCCTCTCTTGCTGGCCTACTCAGTGTGGAGTGTATAGTCCAGCATGAGTCAGGGATGGGGGGGACATTCTGGTTTCTTGATTCCGCAAATGAACCTTTCCCCACTCTGGGTCTAATACTTAAAGAAACCTCCAAGCCTCTGGCCTCAAAGCAGGAAGAGTAGGGAGGTGAGAGGAACACCTAGCAGGCAGCTCAAGAACAGTGACTAGTCGTCACACTTGGGGTGGGTGGGACAGCAAGCACTCCTAGATGGTTTTCTACCTCCACCCCCCTCTGCTGGCCCATGAAAGGTGTTTATTATTCTTATGGAAACTCCTCAAACATGAGTTCCAAAGAACTTTTGGTCATTTGTGTTTTTGGATTCTACAAGTTACTCCTTTTCTCCTACATCTTTCAAAACAGCGCAGGACAAAAATCTTTTGGGAAAAATAACAACAGAGAATTACCTAGTAATTGAACTAGCATTATATTTATGATGAATACCAATAGTAACAAAAATATAAAAGGTGGATTTTGTGCTCAGACAACCTGGTGATCCTCTCATGATTTTGTTACCTTAATAGAAGCCATTATAATATACTTTGCCACTGCCTGTGATGGTCTTAAAAGACCCCGAGGCTATCAGCCATGAGACAGATATATAACCTGCAAAATGTTATGAAATGCATTAATTGTTTCAGAGTGAGTTAGAGAAGGAAGACCATTTGGTTAACCTTAACAATCATCTCGAAAACCAGAGAGGACGGTGAAAATTTCTTACCTAACAAGAGTCCTAGAGTGAGATTTTGATTTCTGAGTTTAAGGAGCCCTGGTGGTACAAAGGTTAATCACTCGATTGCTAACCAAAAGGTTGGTGGTTTGAAACCACCAGTGGCTTTGCAGGAGAAAAACCTGGCAATCTTCTCCTGAAAAGATTATATCCTAGAAAACCCTATGAGGCAGTTGTACTCTGTCACATTGGGTCGCTATGAGTTGGACAGCAACTAACAACAGTCATTATTTATAGCCACTCTGCCTACCAAATAGTCAATTTTTAAAGAAGGATTGTATATGACTTTGAAAAAACTAAATATGAAAACAACCATCTTGTGTGTCCCAGGTATACAGAAATCTCTTCAAGGCCTCTGAGACTCAGATGGTGGCTGAAAGAAAAGTGAAAGCCACCATTTTATTTCTATAGTTAGGAAAGGTTTTCAATATGCTTTTTTTCATTAAGCATCTATGAGAGAGCTCTTCTCTTGACCTAACGAAACTTGAGGAATATGGGCACCTAGGAGGAAGTGGGCCTGGTAGCCACTCACATTTGTGGGTAGAGGTCAAAACAAACTAAGAGGAGGCAGTGCAGAGGAAACTTGGCAGAGGCAGGGGGACTTTAGAAAATCACCTGCAAAGGGATACTATACATCTGTGCAGTCCAATATGGTAGCCTCTACCACAGGTAGCTATTTAAATTAAAATTAAATCAAATAAAAAACTCAGTTCCTCAGTCCCACTAGCCATATTTCAAATCCTCAAGGACCATGTGTGACTAATGACTACCATATTAGACAATGCAGAGAGCATTCCTATTATCACAGAAAGTTCTACTGGACTGCATTGCTGTAGACAATGGTTACCAATCTTTCAACTGACTGGGTCAATTTTTAACATGAAAAATTTCACAGACAATCATGAAAGGAGTTATTAGTATCTACTGATTGAAAATATACACTAAGACAGAAAGCTACAAGAAATTTAATAAAATAAGCATTCATTTAAGAGCACTGTTGGCCACCAGAGCAACTACATACATTTGAAAAATAATAGTACTCATGTGTGTGAGACAGATGGTTTACTTAGCCTGTATAGGCTAAATGGGGTGCATATGGCTTCAAGGACACAGTCAGCAGCCCCAAATGCGGGCTGTGAGGTAATGCTCTGTTCTTCTTCTGGGCTCGTCTGATCTGTGTTTATGGGTACTTTTCACACACTGCGTTATATTAGATACCCGTGTGTCTTTCTCTCCAGCTCGACCATTAAGACCTTCAAGAGCATGAACCTTGTTATTTTCATCATCATTTCCCCCACTGCACCTCTTACAGTGTCTTGCACATCAAGGTTTAAACAAACAAACAAACGAATTAAGTGGAAATCTCATAAGAAGTCTTCAAAATGGGTATCCCTGGTCTAAAAGTCAGTACCATGGGTCTAATCAAAGCAGCTCACCACAAAACTTAGCTGCCTTCTCATCTTATCTATGTTATGGCAGAAATGGGTTATGCCTACAAAGGAGATTTATACCTCTGCATAGTTCTAAACACAATGCTGGCCCTAACCAAATGACAAAGGCTAATAACAACAATGTGTTATGTTTTTGGCCAGGCTTAAAATGGCTGGCAAGATCAGTTCTCAACATGTGCAACATTTAAATTAGAAAGGCATGGAACAACATTTCACATCTTACTTGTCAAGAGAAAAATAAATGGGAGTGGGCAGATCCCTATCCACAAGTATGCAGAAATCAATTAGAATAACTGTAGCTTGCAAATCAGACAACACCCTCTGCCTGTCTATAATAATTATTTGGCTTCTATTAGTTCAGCCAGCACTCTGAGCTACCCTCCCTTCCATCCCGCTCTAACTTCCTTCCCAGATTCTGAAATCCCATTGATCTCAAAGTACAGTGCTTCTAAATGTTTCGGAAGCAACTTTTCAAAATCTATTTGTGTCAGAATCCACTCCCCTATGCACAATATGGGAACGTAGCAATGTCAGAATGTACAAAGAGTCGCTGAGGGCTTTGGTCTTTGGGTGTGAGCAGTGCCTAGGAGGTATCTGAGCAGAGGCTAGCTCACCTGTCAGGAAAGCTGCAGAAGGGACGTGGCCTCTCAGAGGGAACCCCATGTGACTCTTTAGGTCTCTAGCTAGTAAGGTCTTACCATTCTATAATAATTTGAGTGAAACTGACCCTAATGTTACCCTTCCTTCACACAGATATTAACACCAAGGAATTAATTGATAATCTCTTTTTAGGATTTTCAATACCAGCAACAGGAAAAGTCTTATGAAAACCATTAGCAAAAATATGTGAATAAACAAAACGTACAGCCGATTAATTAAACTACAGCACATATAGTTGATGGCTATCAAGTTGCTTCAAAAATCAGGTAGCAGAAGAAAATTTGTTAGCATGGGAAAATATTCATGACAAATTGCTAAATGAAAAAAAAAATTAGTCTACTATACAATATATACAGTTGTTCAGTGCTGTCAAGTCGGTTCTGACTCATAGCAACCCTACAGGACACAGTAGAACTGCCCTATAGGGTTTCCAAGGAGCGGCTGGTGGATTTGAACTGCAGACCTTTTGGTTAGCAGTTGAGCTCTTAACTACTACACCACCAGGGCTCTGTACAAGATATACAGAAGATTATGATTTTGGTAATAAGAATGTATATGTAGGCATTAAAAATATATTGGAAAGTCAAAGGCTGAATATTAAGGGTGGTTAAATATTGGATATTGTGAGAGAGCAATTTCTTTTGTGCTTTTTCTGTGCTTTCCAAGTTTTCTCTTATAGGAATTTTAAGTGTTTTTCTACACATATGTATGTATGTATGAATGTGTGTCTATCTATGTATATATACACACATGTGTGCGTATAC